TTGAAAAAGACACATATTGGAATGATGGCACATGTATTTATAGCTAATAGTTTATTCTAATATATTTCAGTTCGGTTGTGCTGGAAACTGTAAGCTTATTGAAACGATGGAACCAATCAGTACTAAACAATGAGTGTAAAGTTTATTGCTAACGGACACAACGGCTTGTCTTTAAGGGGGTTCGAACCAACGCAGCCAGCAATCCTTAGATTACTAGTCCGACCCTCGCCGACACTCTATACATTGTATATCTAATATTTCGTTATTTCATTATACTTGTTATTTTCCCTCTTTTTTAGGTTTTCGTCGTACCAACACAGTATAGGTCATATAACAACTTTCCAGCTTTACTTTGCTTCTCGTCAGGGAGATAATTCCCACTTATCTATGTCATTGTTCATGCGTAGTTTTTCCCCTTAGATTATTATAAAAACACGACTTAGGTCCGTGATAAAAGTCGTAAATCAAGAACACATCTTTTACAGGTCGTCTGATTAGCTCAATAGGTGCAGCGTTTGACTATGAATCGGGTTTGACTCCAAGACTGTGCAGGTCACCTTCATTGTGATTGATCATGAAATCATTTCTACGGTTATTCGCACCACAGACACTTAGGGTCTGGACCTCAAAACACCTTTAAAGTCCAAATAAAATGTATATTTGTCAATCCCAGCACATGTACTTATCATATATACCATTAAAACATTAAACTTAACATAAGCTGTTTTGAAAAACAAGTAATATTTCAATGTCTAGCCTAATTATTTTGACGATTTGAAATATGATTTTGTTTCAAAACACAGTGTCTGTGATTACCTGTCTGTGATTCGCACTATACCTCTGCTCTGGCATGTACAGAAATTATCAGTTCCTTGCAAAAGTGAAGGCAATTAGTAATTATTATAAGATCCACGGCAACGTGTAAGACGGCAAGTTCGCATATTCTCTACAGCTCTGTGTAAAGTTTAAGGTTTAGTTTGTATACATAGTATGAGCTAGCTGCCGATGTCCCAACTAAAACTGATATGTGAGTGACCCTAACAGTTTCTGTTTTGTGCCTTAACGGACGGGTGGGCCCTCATTAAGCATATCTACATCTACATTATACATGTACTAACGATTACACTAAGCAGGCACCGTTGTCTGGGAATAGCTGTTAAAAACAAATGTGTTTTAAAAGTGCAAATTTATAGGTGTAAGATAAAAGCAAGTTAAAAGAGAATTACAAGACTGAGATAAAAAGTTAATAGCAAAACTGACTTAGAACAGTTTTACTGGTAAAAAGGATGCAGCTGCTTGTAAAGAGGTCTAAACTGGGACTAGCTTGTAAGGACACGGGTAGGCCATTTCATAGACGAATACTTCTAGGGGGAAATGAATAGGATTGGTATTGTGTCATTTGAGTATGGTATTAGGTAGTTCCGGTTTCTAGTGGGTGTTTGATGGTGATGGTCAACCCTCACAAGATTGTGTTGGATTTTGTAGAGTAGGGTAACAGAGCTGATGTTGAGCCTCTGTTCTAGGGTTTGCCAATTAAGTTCACTTAACATTTTAGATACACTACTGGTGTTATTGTAGTCGCTGTATACATATCTGGCAGCTGACCTTTGAACTTGTTCTATTTTGTAAACCAGATATTTTTGCCAAGGATGCCAACCCGTGGAACAGTATTCTTACTGGGGCCTGACATAGGTTTTGTAGGCAGTTTCTTTAACCTTTTTGTTTGAAGTGTTGACTTTTCTTTTTATAAATTTGAGTGAATTATTTGCTTTTGCTGTTATTTATATGATTGGTCCAAGATAGGTCTTTACTAATTGTTACACCTAAATATTTTGCAGCCTTAGAGGATTTTAGTTGTTGACCATGTAAATTATAAGGGAATTTCTTGCGGCTGATACTAAGGACTTCACATTTAACTGGGTTTAAGTCCATGGACCAATCAGATTCCCAGTTTTCAAGACTGTTGAGATCTTTTTGAGGGTATGTGCATCTTGGTTGATTTGATTGTTAGATATACTATTGTATCGTCTGCAAATAGTTTAACCTTGCCCTTAACACTATCAGGAAGGACATTTATGTAAGGTAAGAAAAGGCAAGGTGCCAGGACCGAGCCTTGGGGAACACCAGGGAGGACAGGTTAGTTGTCTGAGTTTTGACCATCAACAACTATACCTGTTGGGTGCGACCATATAAAAATGACATTGTCCATGTGACCACAGATATATATTTTACTATATACTTTTTAACAAATCAATAACAATAGATCGTGTGTAATCCACCTAGACTAAGTAAACTCATAGATATAAAAGTAAACTGTACATATTTTTTTCAAGTTGATTCTGGTTGTCAGATCATAATTATAATAATGTCATTATGTAGAAAATACATTTAGACAGATCTGAAATAGTCAAATAAATACATTCGTTACTCATTTTACATAGACCTATCTATCTCTAAATACTGCTAGTGTTATAGGCAAAAATTGAGTGGATTAAATCCTCCATCAAATGTCACGCGGTAGAATTATTTTTAATTCGTAATAATGAATGGTTTCGTGGCAGTTTCATATTGTGATAAATGGAGCCAATCTCCACACAGTGATCTCCCCTTAATTCTTCGGCGTAGATCTCTGCGACCAAGGTCCCAATATATCAGAATTTCTGATATACTATATTTTTTCAAAAATTGTTTTATCTACTGCTTTTATCTATCAGATAAGTTTTCTCTCATTTATTTAACAATGTTTATGAATAAATAAATAAATAATATGAATATTTAGAAATAATTTTAAAAATTATGAGATCATTTTCTACCGAGACGATATTTTGATATTTTATATTTTTTAGCTTTTGAATTTATTTTTCGTTATTTTGTATACTTTCGATAATTTTTTGATAAACTATATCGAACGTAGGCACTAAAAGTTAAAAATAAAACAGAAAGAGAAAAATAACGTTAGATTTTCTTTGTAACGGTCGATATTTACATTTGAATTTCGACGTTACGTCATGTGACTTTCATCATCATGTGACGTCTTTGAAGGCAGTGATTACAATTCTGCCAAGGGAGGTAATCACTGTGAGGAGTTTGAAATGGAGCTAGTAGTCTTTGTGTAGTCTTGTGGTGTTTTGTGGTAGTCTTGTGGTATATTGGGGTAATTAAACCCTACTCAATTGCATGTTATCTCCCTTGGTTTAGAACTCTTGCATGCGGAGAATGCTACTGGTTCCACGCGCAAAGAACGAGTAACAAGAAAACATTTAACATAAACGGGAAAAAAAACAAAAGGCACACACGGCAAAATAAAAATAGCGAAAATCATGACTAAAGATTCTAAAAAGCATGGCAGTGCCAAAGATGGGGTGTCACAAAAGGTAATGAATTTAAGAAATCTACGTAAATTGTGTGTATAAAGTGTATAGAAATTTTAATAGTTGGTGGGGGACGGCACAATCGGAGTCTCATAGTCATAATTTTTCCGCGGTATAGGGACCGGCGGTATATTACATGAAATCTGTTAAATTCACACTACAAAGGTAAGGATCGTAAAGTTTTGGGAAATGAGCATAATGTAGATGTATTGGAAAGCCCGATGTATTGTAGGAAAGATCCGTTAACCATGTCAATTTTTCCATAAAATTATTGTTTACATTACATTGCGGTACAAGTCAACCCGGCCCCAAGTCAACCCGGCCCCAAGTCAGCCCGTCCCCAAATTGGTCAACCCGGCCCCAAACCAATGTTATTTCTGGTCAACCCGGCCCCATTTTTTTTTATTATTTATTTTGCTTTAAAATATAAACACTTATATTTTACAAAGTAATTATTTTTTATTATTTTTTCTTGATACGATGTTTTATAATAATAAAATGATTTTACATGCAAAATATCGTTAAATTTTGTCCATAAATAAAAAAGTTATAAGTTATATTCGAATTACGTTCTATAAAAGTCATATCCGTAGCGAACAGAAGATACCGAATATGACTTATATTTTATAAATTGATTATTTTTTTTATTAACTTTTCTTGATTAATAATAAAATGATTTTACATGCAATATATCGTTAAATTTGGTTTATAAATAAAAAAATAAGTAATGTAGGTGAGGAACACACGTACAATACCAGGTCAAGTTTTAAAAGTTTTTATTGGCTACTAGTTTCGAGTAATACAATACTCTTCATCAGGCTTAAATAAAAAAGTTATAAGTTATATTTGGTTTTTTTTATATATATATATAAAATCATATCTGTGAAGAACAGAAGATATCAAATATCATTATATGACTTATATTTTATAAAGTAAGTGGGGTTTTTTGTCTGGATTACAGTGAAATAACATGCAAATAATCGTTAAATTTGGTACAATTAATAATAAATCATTTTTATTCCATCATACAACAAGATGACTTAAATAATTTTCTTTGAAAATATATATTTTGGGGCCGGAATAACCGATTTTGGGGCCGCATTGACCAATTTTGGGGCCGCATTGACCAAATAAAAATACTGTGGGGCCGGATTGACCAATTTTGGGGCCGGGTTGACCAATTTTGAGGCCGGGTTGACTTGGGGCCGGGTTAACTTGGGGCCGGGTTGACTGTAATTCTTACATTGTAGTCGGTGTTAAAAGCTCATCAGAGCTTATGTTTATTGTTGATGTATCCGACTTATAAATAAAATTTACTTGACTTGACTTGACTTGACATGCGACAATCGTTTTTTTTTCTGCTAACCAATGTCCACTGGCTGACCTGGAATCGTGTACATATGGGTTAGATGTGAACCTCAATAAACAAAAATTAAAACTAGAAAAAAAGTGCTGCTTCATTCTTTAATGTAAAAACAATGGAACAAACTTGTCAATTTCCATTTAGCATGGGACTCCGTATTATCGGCGTACTTAACTTTTCCTATATGTCTGCATTGAATTTCATTGATGAATTTAATAATCAATATTCTGTGTAAAGCAGTACAAATTCAACTAATCATTACATTTTTTATTGAATGAGGTCAAAGATTTTTAATTTCAATGTATGCATGACTGCACATGACAAAATACTGAGAGTACGTCGGTAATAGAGTTGCGCCGATAATACAGAGTTAGAGTATACAAATTGATTTGGACACAGGGTCCGTCCAGTAACAAAATTTCTTCCTGCGCCAATAGTATGAGTGAATGGTATGAATCGCAGTCGGCAAAAGTTCCAGTCCACTGTTTGTTTTTGTTTTCTTTTGTTGTAGAAAAAGAGTGATCATGATGAATATGTTGATGATGATATTGTGGTATATTTTTGTTTATAAATATTGTATTCATTACTTGTTCAATGTTACTAGTTATTATTTATCGTTAGCTTTACTTTTTCAAACAAAAAATTTTGAGCTATTGCTAAAGTCATGGTGTTGTTGCAGTTGCCGCCCACAAGCATTATCATTGGACATTATTTTGAGCTTCACTTTTCAAAGAAAAAAAGTGAAGAAATTGTCATGTTCCTTCTTTGCTTGTCACAGTATTGGTGTCGGCGTCGGTTAACCTTTCTGTTGCCGTCCGTTTTCCCAGAAACTATGAATGCTATTAAGAATTCTCTTCATACTTAGTGTACATGTCATAAGGGAATGCCATTTCAAAGGCTTATAATCCTGAAATTATTTTTTTTGTGCAAATCACATTTTTGTTAAGGTCCATTTTCTGAGATATTAGTTATCAATGTAAATGTTAATATTAAAAATATTTTATTATTGTCAATGTATTCTTGATGACTAGAGTCAGGATCAGGCCCATTTGTGTTTATCTAGGATAATGTTCTTGTTTTTCACTATTTTTTGTCTTTTTTCTTTATTACATTTTGCAAAACTTGACCACTATGTTTTTTGTTCATTTATATTACTAAATTTGTAAAATTTACATGATTTTGAAACGAATGAACAATTTCATATAATTCCAAATAATGATGCATTATGTATTTAAAAATCAGAAACGAGACATTTTACAATCTTCTTTACCACTTCTGCTGCATATAAGTTACAAAAAGCAATAATTTAAAATAAATCTTTAAAAAACAGATTTTCTATGATTCGAACTTGCAACTAAGTGATTACAATTTAGTTGTAATTTTGTATTTACAGTTAGGCTATTGGGCAGTAATTATAAATTAAAGTATTAGAAGAACTTTACTATCATTATAAACCAATTCTTTAATTGTAATAAATTATAGAAACTTAGCAAAAAACATCCCTTAAACTTATAAATCATTATAAACATCATTATCATACTGCCTGAAGCAATAAAAGCCTCTATTAAGTCTATTTATGTTTTTGCATTTGGTAATGAGAAATAGCTTTTGCCCTTGTTCGTACTAATTGGCTCCAGTTTTAGGAATAAACACTGTTTCAGGGTTATTCATAACATTCAGTGTTCGTTCTGGTTTTACTTGATAACTGAAAATCAGTTGAATTTGTTGATAATTTCTAATGTAGATGTTTATGCTTTTTACATTTCAGGTACAAGAATTCAAAGACACTTTCAAGTCAGAGGTGAGCATAATTTTGTTAAGCATTTTCTTACTTAGTATCATAAGGACAATTGATATAAAACATGTTTCAAACAAGTTTACTGAATGGGTCTCTCCTCTAAATTTAAAGATTATTTTCTAATACATGTATTTAAAGTAATTTTCATTCAGGCTTGTATTGCCACGACCTTGTGGTGCTCTTATTTTACAAAAAAAAAAACATAGTTACTGGTAGTGATGGAAATCGGATGAAATTTGTCCCAATCGATCATCGGTTCAATCGGATGGGACATAATCGATAACTTTTCGATTAAAGTCGCGTTAAAAATAAATAGGGAAGAAACATTTTACAGTTTTAATCCTATATAGTTAGTTATAATTTTAAGAAATACATGTAGATTTAATTTATAATTTTAAGAAATACATGTAGATTTAATTTTCCAATGGATGTCAAATAATAACATTCACATCACATTATATATCTATTGTTTACATCACGTATTGATCCTATTCAACTCCAAATAGTCTCTGAGATAATTTTTTGCGATCGGCGAGGTGTTCCTAAAAGAAAATTAACGTCAGAATTAATTCCCTTTGATACTTTAAACATTTTCGACAAATCGCGGAACAAATATATGTGAATCGATTATTGTCGCTTTACATAACAGTAACTGATTATCGGCAACTTGCGACATCACTAGTTACTGGTTTGTTACTATTTAACAAGACAATGGATTGTAATAATTTTACTGGTTTATTACTCTTTAACAATGCATTGAATTGTAATGATTTTACTGGTTTATTACTCTTTAACAAGGCATTGACTTGTAATAATTTACTGGTTTATTACTCTTTAACAAGGCATTGAATTGTAATAATTTTACTGGTTTATTACTCTTTAACAAGGCATTGAATTGTAGTAATTTTACTGGTTTATTACTCTTTAACAAGGCATTGAATTGTAATAATTTTACTGGTTTATTACTCTTTAACAAGACAATGGATTGTAATAATTTTACTGGTTTATTACTCTTTAACATGACAATGGATTTTAATATTTTTACTGGTTTATTACTCTTTAACAAGGCATTGAATTGTAATAATTTTTACACAGACTAAACAGTATAAAATTGTAAAATAAAGGTCAAGTTTAAATTTGACTTTTCAAACATGATTATTCAGAGTTATAGTTAACTTTATAGTAGTTTTAGATGTATAGTTGTTGAAGTATTTTGGGGTTATGAATCACCTTAATTGATAGCTTTTTTTTTTCAGGGAGAACATTTAGTAAAAACAGTGTTTCCACAGAAGATCATAGAGTTAGAAGAAATACACAAGGTAAGTACTTAACTTAAAACAAGTGATGGGGTGTCTGTGGCGAAATGGTCAATGAAGTTGACTTTAAATCACTTGCCCCTCACTGCTATGATTCTTTCATGTGAGGAAGTTATCCAGCTAGCTTACCGAATATCAGTGATTCTACTCAAGTGCTCATTTATGCCTGAATTAATTCAAGGAAGGGCATGTGAGGTCTGAATCCACCAGTAAAGCTGGAAAGTCGCCATTTGACCTGCAAGTATACTGTGATGGTGCGATGTAAAACCCACTTTAAAATAAACAACTAATTAAACTAGTTTTGCATGTTGATATTTGCACATTAATTTTAAGGGTGTATCATGTTCAGTTAAAATGCTAAAAAGGGGAATATTTTCATTAATTAATATCAAACAAAAATGTGTGATAATGATAAGATTGGCTATTGGCACTGTTATTTATAATGATTATGAATTTTCGTTAAAATATTTGCAGAGTTTGAGCCTATCGAAGTTGTCAGAAGTTCACAGTGACTTGAATATACCTGTACCAGAGGCAATTCATCTTGACAATGGAAATGATGAGGTAAAAAGTTTATACGTCAATTGTTTTTCTTGCAAAGAAATTTATAATTACTGGTTAGTTATCTAGGAAAGCTTGTTAGATGGACCTGCCGCTGAGATATCACCAGAATGTGTTAAAAGCAGTGTAAAAACCAAACAAACATTTACTTATTCTTGCAAGTTAGTGGATTAGAGCTGTGACTTCATGTAATAAAATCAAATTTATGTGTTCAATAGGTCATGACATTATCAACTTATGTAATTGTGTTAACATTTTTTCTTTACTGAGTGAATGTGTAAATCTTTACTGACAACAATTAGGGCCAGAGACATATGTGTTTACCATTATTCATCATTTGTAACATTTAAAATTTTCTTTAATCATACAAAAATTTCCATTGATAATATTTTTTTTTTTAACCAGAGCAAAACGTTTGTGATTTTAAACAAGATATCCAAACCACTTGTTGGATTTTGACAAAACTTTACGAGGCACTCGACAAAAGTTATATAAATGGTTCCAGTCTTATGTATAAGTATGTTACAAGAGCTAAAGATAGACTTAAAATAAAACCTTTGATCAAAAGTGACAGCATATTGTGACCTTATAACTGACTTTTGCATGACCTGTTTTAGTAATGTATCTAAGGTGAGCGACCTAGGGCCATCACTGCCCTCATGTTTAATTTTCCTACTGTACATGTTATTTAAAGTTCATGAAATGTAACAAAACTTATGAACCTTATTGATTATAAATTATTGTATAATACAATATCCTCATTAATTTTTCAGCCAGCAACCAAAAAGAGAAAACATGACCATTCAGTACAAGGTAATCATTAAGTGTGTGATTTAACTTTTTGAGTAAAATGAACCGGTTGCTTTTAAAATTTATGCAATGGATAGTTATGGTGCAAATTGGTCTATTTAAAGTAATTTTTAGCTCGACTCTTTGCAGAATAATCGAGCTAATGCAGTCACCCATTTGTCGACATCGTCATCCCTGTGGTTAAGTTTTTGCGTGTAAGCTGGTAACTCCATAACTACTGAAGGGAATGGATTGAAACTTCACACACTTGTTCTCTGTGATTATCTAACATGATTGGCTTAAGTCCCATAACTCTGATTTGCTTTTTAGCTCGACTATACGAAGTATATGGAGAGCTGTCCTACTCGCCCCAGCGTCGGCGTCCGCGTCCAGATTTTAGATTAAAGTTTTGGTGCAGTAAAATATTTTTCACTATAACTTTGTCATTTCTTAAGGTATCAACTTCAAACTTCAAATATATGTTCCTTATCATCAACCACATCTTATGTGACAAGGTTCATAACTCTAGCACCAATATTTTCAGATTTATCTCCCCTTGAACTTAGAATTTTCCTTAAAAAATACTATTTTTTACTGATACTTCTTTATTTCTTAAGGGATCAACCTCATACTTCAAATATATGTACCTTATCATCATCCCCATCTTATGTGACAAGGTTCATAACTCTAGCACCAATATTTTCAGATTTATCTCCCCTTGAACTTAGAATTTTCCTCAAAAAATACTATTTCTTACTGTTTCTTCTTTATTTCTTAAGGGATCAACCTCATACTTCAAATATATTTGTGTTATCATCATCCCCATCTTATGTGACAAGGTTCATAACTCTAGCACCTATATTTTCAGATTTATCTCCCTTTGAACTTAGAATTTTCCATAAAAAATATTATTTTTTACTGTAACTTATTTATTTCTAAAGGGATCAACTTCATACTTCAAATATATTTACGTTATCATCATCCACGTCTTATGTGACAAGGTTCATAACTCTAGCACCAATATTGCAAGAATTGTCTCCCCATAAACTTAGATTTATTTACTAGAAAAATGTTATTTTTTATTTTAACTTTTTTATTTTTAAAGGTATCTACCTCAAACTTCAAATACTTATTCCTTATCATCAATTACAGTTTATGTGACAATGTTCATAACTCTTGAAGCAATATTTACAGATTTATCTCTCTTTGAACTTAGGATTTTCTTTAAGAAATATAATAACTTCTTTATTTTTTAAGGTATCTACTTCAAACTTCAAATATATATTTCTTATCATTACACAAATGTTGTGTGGCAAGGTCCATAACTCTAGCATGACTATTTCTAGAATTATTCCCCTTGATCTTGGAATTTATGTTAACACATGTTATTTTTTTACTATAACTTAATACATAATTATACATAATTGATTTTTCTTTCATAGTTTTGTCCTCCTTACTGCGTCCAGTATTTTATTAGTCGAGCTTCGCTGTCTCCTGTGACAGCTCTTGTTTACATAATTATGCCCCTTTTTCAACTTAGAAATTCTTGGTTAAGTTTTTGCTTGTAAGCTGGTAAATCCATAACTACTGAAGGGAATGGATTGAAACTTCACACAATTGTTCTCTGTGATTATCTAACATGATTGGCACAAGTCCCATAACTCTGATTTGCTTTTTTACATAATTATGCCCCTTTTTCAACTTAGAAATTCTTGGTTAAGTTTTTGATGTAAGCTGGTATCTCCATAACTACTGAAAGGAATGGATTGAAACTTCACACACTTGTTCTCTGTGATTATCTAACATGATTGTCACGAGTCCCAATACTCTTGATTTTTTTTCGTTATTATGCCCCTTTTTCGGCTTAGAAATTCTTGGTAAAAAGAGTTTTGCTTGTAAGCTGTTATCTCCATAATTACTGATGGGTTTGTGCCTTTTTTGGGACAATTTTATGCACTCATAATAATAAAGCAGTGATTTACTCGATAAAACATCTTAATAATAAGCCTTTGTACCTTTTCGGACAATTTTATGTATTCATATAGGTAAGCATTGTCATACATGATGAAACACCCTTGTGACAACTTTTCGAATAGTCGAGTGTTACTGTCCACCGACAGTTCTTGTTACCTTTTCTGTTTCGAAAAATGGTCAAGCTTTAATGATCGCTGTGGCGTCGTTGGTGATGTCGTCATTGTCATGCAAAAACTTTAATGTAGCCCATTATTCAAACATTTCAAAAGTTATCAACATGAAACATAGAATACTTGCTTATCATGACAAGGTACAGCTTTTATACAAGAGGCATAATTCTGAAAGCAATAATTAGTCCCCTACCGGTTTACCGGAGGGGACTTTAGGTTTACCCTCCGTCTGTCAGTCCGTCCGTCCACAAAACTGGATCCCATGATAAAGCAAAAAGTACTGAAAATATTTTTATGAAACTTGATATATGGATAGATGGCAGATTGGAGATTATGCACGTCTTTTTCTTTTCTTCCTATGTTGAAAATTCTGGTTGCTATGGCAACAAATAGACTGAAAATATGGCAAATTTTACACATAACCTGGATCCAGTGATAACACAAAAAGTACTGAAAATATTTTTATGAAACTTGATATATGGATAGATGGCAGTATGGAGATTATGCACATCTTTTTCTTTTCTTCCTATGTTGAAAATTCTGGTTGCTATGACAACAAATAGACTGAAAATATGGCAAATTTTACACATAACCTGGATCCAGTGATAACGCATAAAGTACTGAAAATATTTTTATGAAACTTGAAATATGAGTAGATGGCAGTCTGGAGATTATGCACATTCTTTTCGTTTCTTCCAATGTTGAAAATTCTGGTTGCTATGGCAACAAATAGACTGAATTTCAAGATTTCTGATTCAAGTTTTAACGTTTTTTCACTATAAGTTCTTTATTTCTTAAGGTATTTTCTTCAAACTTTAAATATAAGTTTCTAGTCATCAACCACATCAAATGTGACAAGGTTTTCAACTCTAGCATAAAATTTATCAGAATTTCCTCCCTTGAACTTAGAATTTTCATGAAAAAAATATTGTTTTTTTAATAACTTCCTTTTTTGTGAATGTATCTACTTCAAACTTCATATCTATGTTTCTTATTATCATTCAACATTTGTGAAAAAGTTCAATACTCTAGCAAGACTATTTCCAGAATTATGCCCCTTTTGAACTTAGACTTTTTTCGAGAAATTGGTAATTTTTACTCCAACTTTTTCAATCATTATAGGATTTTCTTCAAACTCCCACATCATAATAATATGACAAGGTTTATAAATCTAGCATCCATATTTCCAGAATTATCTCCTCCTTAAACTTTGAATTTTTCTCATTCATTCTTTTCACTTTCTTTTACTTCAAATTAAAAAAAAAACATTCATTATCAACACCTTCATTACTAATTGTTCTTTGTTACACTCACATCATGTATGACATCTTGCATCTTTATTTCAAGAGTTATCTCCTCTTTAAGAATTTTGCTTTTAAAAATGTTATATTTTGATAACAGGGATGTTTAAAGAAATAACTTTAGAGTGTCCTTCAGTCCGTCTGTTTGTCTGTACATAAAAAACTGTTTCCTGTGATCACTTTTAAAGGACTTTTTCAACAAATTAGAAACATAAGTGAATGGCCCTTCAGAATGTTGCTGGGGTTTTAACCGGTAGGGGACTTATGGATTGCTTGCAATACTATGATAATTGCTTGTTTTTAGCTCACCTGTCACAAAGTGACAGGGTGAGCTTTTGTGATCGCTTTTCGTCCGGCGTCCGTCCGTCCGTCCGGCGTCCGTCCGTAAACTTTTGCTTTAAATGACATCTCCTCATAAACCACTGAGCCAATTTCATCCAAACTTCACAGGAATGTTCCTTTGGTGGTCACCTTTAAAAATTGTTCAAAGAATTTAATTCCATGCAGAAGTCTGGTTGCCATGGCAACCGAAAGAAAAATCTTTAAATATCTTCTTTTAAACAACCCTAAGAGCTAGAGCTTAGATATTTGGCATGAAACATCTTCTAATGAGTGTCTACCAAGTTTGTTCAAATAAAAGCCCTGGGGTCAAAATTGGCCCCGCCCCAGGGGGTCATAGATTTTCCCTATATGCATATAGTAAAAACTTAAAAAATCTTCTTTTAAAAAACCCAAAAATCTAGAGCTAAGATATTTGGCATGAAACATCTTCTAGTGAATGTCTACCAAGTTTGTTCAAATAAAAGCCCTGGGGTCAAAATTGGCCCCGCCCCGGGGGGTCATTGATTTTCCCTATATGCATATAGTAAAAACTTAAAAATCTTCTTTTAAAGAACTGTAAGAGCTAGAGCTTAGATATTTGGCATGAAACATCTTCTAGTGAATGTCTACAAAGTTTGTTCAAATAAAAGCCCTGGGGTCAAAATTGGCCCCGCCCCAGGGGGTCATTGATTTTCCCTATATGCATATAGTAAAAACTTAAAAAATCTTCTTTTAAAGAACCCAAAGAGCTAGAGCTAAGATATTTAGCATGAAACATCTTCTAATGAGTGTCTACCAAGTTTGTTCAAATAAAAGCCCTGAGGTCAAAATTGGCCCTGCCCCAGGGGGTCATTGATTTTCCCTATATGCATATAGTAAAAACTTAAAAAATCTTCTTTTAAAGAACCCAAAGAGCTAGAGCTAAGATATTTGGCGTGAAACATCTTCTAGTGAGTGTCTACCAAGTTTTTCAAATAAAAGCCCTGGGGTCAAAATTGGCCCCGCCCCAGAGGGTCATTGATTTTCCCTATATGCATATAGTAAAAACTTATAAAAAACTTCTTTTAAAGAACAGTAAGAGCTAGAGCTTAGATATTTGGCATGAAACATCTTCTAGTGAGTGTCTACCAAGTTTGTTCAAATAAAAGCCCAGGGGTCAAAATTGGCCCCGCCCCAGAGGGTCATTGATTTCCCTATATGCATATAGTAAAAACTTAAAAAATCTTCTTTTAAAGAACTCAAAGAGCTAGAGCTAGGATATTTAGCATGAAACATGTTCTAATGGGTGTCTACCAAGTATGTTCAAAT